AAAAGGAAATTGAGGATGCACAGCTATAGAACAGTTGAACAGCAAACAGTTCCCGTCGTGGAAGAGCAATCGAGTTGTCGGCTGGAAAATCAACTTGGCGTAAAATCGTCAGGCCGTATTCTTCGTGCCACTCTTCTTGTTATTGTTGCAGCAGCAGCTCTTGATATTATCCATGCTACATTCCGTTGAAATAAAAAAAACAAGATAGACGAAGCAACGGCAACAAAGCACATGAGTTGTGCATAAAACAGGAAACGGAAACACATCAGCGGAACGGAAGTCAAAAAGTCGTCACATTCACATAACACAACGATATGATGTGAGCCATAAACCCAGCATGAAAGACATTCTGCTTTGTTTTCTGCTACTTTTTTAAAGCCTAGTGGAAGGATGGGCAAGAGAGGGAGGTGGGGTGGGGGAGGGAACATCCACCATGACGTAACAGCACATAACGTTAAACATGTAACGTAATAATGTCGACAACAGTTACCAAAAAGCGGGCAGCTCCAGCTTCTGCTTGATTTTGGCACTGAAATTCCACGAAATGGCTGCCCCCATTTTTGTTATCCTTTTCTTTTTTTGTTATTTTCCTGACAGCATTGTTTGGTGTCTGGCACTGTGTATGTCTTTTTGTCGTTGTCAGGAATTCATTTGGAAAATTAATAATAATATATGTACACACACACACACACACACACACACTTATACATATGCGAAACAGAAGCCAAAACTGTTGGATACAGCCACAATTGTGGCCCACGCTTAAGATAATATTATACGGGTGAAAACTGATATGACACAAAGTGGAAAGTTTTCACAATAATATACATTAAACCTTGATGACAGCCAAGCATCAGTGCAAAAGCTTAACACCTTGTGAATTTTTCTATTTTTTATTCTATAATAATAAAGAGCATCATTTATATAACAATTATAATCATACAAATAAAAATGATAATAATAAAAATAAATAATATGAAAATAATAGGCATTGGAATTAGTGTCGAGCAAATAAGTAAGTTCTTTAGTTTTGAAGAGGATCGGATCATATCCTACAGATTTATTTATTATACACATCGCTACAATTTGCACTGTTATTGAAATAAAGAATAATTAAATAAGTCCCGTTTTACATTAAGCGACTTTATTGACTTAATATTCCAAAAATATGCTTTGCAAGTCATTATCTTTGTTTGCCACTCAAGCCAATCAGCAGATAAATTACACAATGCCCCGCATTTTCACCAACTTACTTTTACTTAAAGCATCAATACTTCAATACAGCCAGTCACATCATTAATGTCAGCAATCTGATAACCGCAATTTCCTTTAGCAAGTCCTAATGCAATAGACAGAGCAAACAATTCAAATTTCTTTAACTAACACGCAGCCAAGCGATAATCACAACAACAACAACAACAATATAATGGCCGTAATACAATCGGGGACAATTTTTCAATTTTTCAATTTCGTATGCGTGGCGTATTTAGAATACAATTCGATTAGAAATGCTTTGCTTTTCGAAATAATAAATTAAATTTGTTGCGTACCCAGCTAGCATCTCCATCCCCATCCCCCATACCCAACAGTGCCATTAGCACAGTCTATGCGTGGGGGGAGGGGGAGCAACCAGCGCAGTTTCTTGGCGGGGTGCAAAAGGTTGCGAAATTGCGCGACTGCCATCCAGTTGGGGAATTCCTGCGGCAACGGTCCGGAAAAAAAAAGAAATGCGCCGCATGCGACGCCGAATCAATTTCCTGCAAAACAAAAATAAAGCCAGCATTGAGCCTTCGTCCTGGGCGCTTTCTTAAAATAACAAAATTACTTTTTATATGCAGTCAAGTCAGGGTACAGCAACAGCAACAGCAGCAACAATAACAACATGCCATTGACAACCATTAATCATGGACGCCTGTCAGGGCGGGTCGTAGCCTGGGTGTGACTGAGGGAGGAAGGGGGGTAGTCATCCTCGACTGTGTCTGCTGATTGTCCTGCGCTGCAATGTTGCTTTATTTTTATATTTTTTCCCTTTAAACTTTGCCTTTTACATGCTAATGCCTGGCACTGGGGCTCAAGTCATGCTCATGCTCGTGCCCATGCACAGCCACGCCCAGCTGCGAAATTGACAAGCAAGCCGAGTGCGTTGTGACATGACACTTGCAAGGGAGACCAGGCAGAGCACCACCAACAGCAGCAGCAGCACTATCATGCTGCACTCGGAAAAATGAATTGACCTAAAATTTTGTTAACCAACCAAAAATTACAGTTGCCCTAAAAGTCACAAAGTTTCGCTATAAATATTTAAACAGACCTTTTTCCAAAATACTTTCTATATATAAAATATATATATATGGATATATCCAAAATCGACAATATTATTTTTTATTCATTGATTTATTATTATTGTTTAGTATGTTCAATCATTATTTTTTTTTAATTGAGATGTCATCTGAAGTAACTTTAAATGTAATATCAAAACGGATTCTCTACACAATATTATTCCAATTTTATCTACACATTAATTTTAGAGAAAAATACCGAAGAATTATTACATGAAAACATTTCTTGAAATGACTTAAACGTCAGTTTAGAGTTACATCCCGTTCAAAATAAATTAAGCTGCCATTGCATTTTTTAAATTTCGCCCAGATTTTTTCTGAGTGTAGCAAGAGACGCTGGAAGTGTGGGCGTACATAAGGCGAGGCGACAGGCAGCAGGCAGGCAGGCAGGCAGTCAGGTTATGTATGCCATCATTAGACGTGGTCCGTTTGCCACGCCCGTGCTGTTGCCTGCTGCAACTGCAAATTGGCAGCTTTGGCCATGTCATGTCACTGGCTCGAGCTGATGGTCTTGATGGTCGGTCAAAGTTCAATGCAAATGCCGAATTCCAATTGTCAAGATGTTTCTGCATAGTGCTGCCTTTGTGTGTGATCAGAACATGTCTAATTGCTCAGTTAATGGGGGGCTGCATGTCATAAAGTGCAAATGCATGCTTGCCACACCGCCTGGAAGCATGCAACAAAACTTGTCTACTATTTTGGTCAGCTCGTCTGTGATTTGTGTATGATATTTGACATGCATTTTCAATTTGGCCAGCTGCAGCTTTAAGAGCTAGCCAAGCAGTCGTCCAATAATGAATTCCATTCATTTTGTTTGTCTACCATCTCCGTGCACAAAGTTCAGATCCTTCCCCCTTGAAGCCTCAGTGTCGGGCTGGGTACGATAAAACTTTATGCACTGCAACGGCCAGCATTGACATTTCAAGTGTTTGCCGCTTTGCTGTGGAGTCTCTCTGCCAGCACAGAAGGAGGTCCAGCAAGGCGCCATCAGTGAACATAGTTTTAATAATGCACAAGACGACAAGACTCCAACGGAAAGTAGCATAAAATGCAGGACATACGAGTGTTGCGCTACGCGATGGCAACAGCCAAGGCAAAAGCAAAAGCAAAAGCAGCGGCAACATTGGAGTGCCCATAGATAAGACCCCCGGACTGTCCAAGTTCCGACCAAGCACCAGTATAGTCGGAGCAGCAGTATTGGTGGTAAGAACCTCCTCCATACCTCTGCTGCAAATGCAACTTTGTCTATTCGATGTCAAAATGAATACTTTTGCATTATTTATGCCGGCGCATTTATTTGTTGTTCCGATAACGAAGTGAAAAGAGTGCAAAGAAAAATATAAGAATTGAATGAATGCATTTTTTACTAAGTCCACAGAGAAATGAGAAAATTATATTGCAAGAATCTTTAAGGATCAAATAGTCAGTAAAAAGTGTGTTTCTTTGTTACGTTAGATGCAATCAATGAAATACTCTTCAAAGTCTTAAGAGTCTTTAAAGTGTGCAATATTCTGATTTGTAACTATTCAATTCCAAAATCCCAACCTTATTAATATTACAGATATTACAGATATTTAAAAATATAAATTTAACCAAACTGGAACCTATTAATATAGATAAAATAAGCCGAACGTAGCAGGGAAATTTTTGATACCCAGTCAGTAGTCAAACTTTAGTAATTGATAGGTATGAATTAATAATAAGTTGAGTTGTATATTATTGTTTTATATTTTTCAATTCAATTGACATACAATATGTGAACATATTTGAAATCAGTTTTCCCCATCGTCCTTTCAGTTGAACTATGTACTTGATTGCATGGCTAGGATAAAAAAAAGACTCTCATTAAATTTTGTATGCTATTACTACCCTCAGATGATGATCAAATCGAACTGTGGATGATCAAAGCTCTGTATCCAAGTCACAAACCATATTTATGATGCAGCCTTAAAGTATGCGGCATATTATAAAAATTAACTAGCTAAACATTATAGCTATCGGTTAATGCAGATTGCACAGATTAGGCAACATTAAATTATTAAGACCCAAGCCACTTCAAGAAAAAAATAATTTAGTTTTTATGCTTAGTTTAAACCAACTTTATTTTACGAGAATGGAGTGGAGTTTTACAGTTAGTCCATAATAATGTAATAAGTTGTATACCCTGAAATGTTATCCACAGAGAAATGTATATATTGTCTTATATATCGTTTTCTAAAATGAGTTTCTAGTTAAAAGGTAATGTTCTTGATGTGTGTGGTAAGATAATAAAAACACACAGTGAATAGTGGCAATGTCGTAAGGAGCGCCACAGCCGAGGTGTTAATGTGTTCAATCTTCAACATTGACCAGATGGTTATTACGCATGCTACATAACCAACAGAATCCATGTTGCCTGCCACGTCACAGACACATCCTCATCTAGCTGGCAGTCGAGTGCTTGTTCCTTTGCGGGCACAGACAAGTGCTCTTCACTCTTTGCTCACAGGAGCTGTCGCAATTCCTTTGGGGCAGCGAGCAGAATCAATTGAGTCAAGTAGCTGGCTGTTCTTGTTGCTGTGATGCTTAGAAGATGCTGAAGAGGACACTTGACCGAGATGACATGCGGCCGGGACCCACCCATCCACCCGGCCCGGTCCGAAACCCTTGAAACTCGTTTACTCGTTTTGAAGGAGCTGCTCAACAGCATTCCATTGCCATTTATATTTAAGGTATCAGTGTCAAAAATATCTAAAGAATCACATAGTGCGCTCCACAAACTTGAACTTGAACGGTATGTTGGGCGCCACGAAGAACTTTTGCTTGAATGCATTCTCAATCGGATAGTCGAAGCCAATGTCAAAGTTGCGCACCAGCCGGGCAACGGCAGTCTCCAGCATCAAGTCCACAATGCGTTTGCCAGCACAGGAACGCGGCCCAAACCCAAAGGGCAGATACATAAAGGGTGTGGCAGTGTCGCCCACCAGCTCCGCATGGGACTCGTCCCGCAGCCACCGTTCGGGCAGGAAGTCGCGAACACGCGGCACAAACTGCTCCATGTTGGACATTTGGTAGTTGGATCCCATTGCCACATCTGTGCCGGCTATCACACGATAGCCACTCAAGACCACATCGACAGGCAAGCGACGCAGTGTGCCAGGACCAATTGGGTACATGCGAATGCCCTCCTTGATGCACGCCCGCAGATATGGCAAGTGCTTCATATTTTCTATGGTCAGTGGTGAGTTCTTCTCGGGCAGCACTCCCCTAATCTCCTCGAGCAGTCGCGCTTGCTGTGCGGGATTCTTGGCCAGGCTAAGTAGAATGCCCGTCAGACTGACAAGGGTCTAGAGGGGAAATGGAAATGTTTATTATTTGAAATAGATTTTACTCGATCACTTACGGGATCCACGCCGGCAAATAAAAGATCCAAGGCAATAATCACAGCCGTCTGGCGATTGGAACGCGCCAGTTTCTCTAGAATACTCGTCTCCATGCCTGGCTCGGTGCTCAGGCGTCCATCTCGGGCATCTTCCTCAATGCGCTTCAGCGCCTGCTGAATGTGATTATAGCAAAAATCTGCGATGGTGTCCAGAGAACGCATTAGGGTCTTAAACATGGGCACTGGTAAATACTTCCAAATCGGTGGCATTAGGTCCAGCTGGAAGCTCAACTCAACTATATTCGCCAGTGCCTTAATCATTTGCTTTGCCTCCTCACTCTCCCGATTCTCCGCCAGCAACCCAAGCCGCGTATTGAGTGCCACAGAACAAATGGATTCCAGGACTAGGCGGCGAATCTCCTCGACAAAGTCAGCAGGCATCTCTTGAGTCTTGGGATCTCTTATGGCACGTATGCTGTGGAAAAAAAAAACGAGCAGCTCTGAATGAGATATAGGAAACCTTTTACCATCTCGACTTACCGCTCCAGAAACTCATCATTGACCTGCAGAATATTGTTTACATATAATTTGGCATTGCGTGGCTGCAGCAAAATCGGATTAACGGCTGTTCGCAACTTACCCCATGCGGGTCCATTTCTATATACAAATAAATAAATAAATGATCTTAGATAAATGTTCATATGGGTCTTGTTAATAGTTTTGCATTGGTATTTTGTCTTACATATTGTCAATTTTGTCAACTTTCACTATTGTTATTTCTGCCCTTATTTGGACCCTGGTCAAATTGGAATACTACAACAGCTCAAAATAAAACATGTATATAATAAAAAGTTTAAATAAAAAAATCGTGTGACAAAATAATTCGAAATAATATAAAATGGGTTTCTAAAAATTGAGACTATAAATACTATAAAGTAACACTACTATTCTTTAGAGCGCAGCAAAAATTAAGAAAATTGAAATACTCCCATTCAACTTACCCTGATGTTAAACCATCAGCACCATCGAAAATATCCCGTCTGTGAACCCTTTTGAAATAGTCCATAGTCTCGAAACTGCGACGGTAGGGAAACTGTCCCTCGTGGCGGAAGGTCGTCTCGTAATCCACAGGATTCATGGAAACCACAATATCTCTGCCAGCAACGCCAGGCATGCGAAAAATGTCCCCAAACCGTTTATTCATATCCAAAAACATTTCATGCACCGGCTTATTGATATAGCGACCTGCGATTGGTAATTGATAGTGAACAACAACAAACCAAAACAAAGACGGAAAGAGAAATACAAAAGAGAGCAGAGAAGCTTTTTCTCTCTTTGAAAAAATATATAGTTCACTTACCGCCCGGCAAGAAAGAGCGAATAAAGTTGAATCTACTGGGACCAGGTATCTCCGAGTAGGGTTTTGCTTGATCCAAAGGCGTAGCGTCCAAAGCTGCTGCGCCCTGTAGCATAATAACAACAACAATAATAATATAATAATATATACAAGTACTTCAATATGAAATAACCTTGGTGGCAAACGCCCGCCCAGCTTGTAGAATTCGAACGGAGATCTCTCTCTGACCGTGCAACTGCCTCGACAACATTTTCCGTACTGATTTGACGCTCTTTTTGGACTACAATTTTTATGTATTAATTCCAGCGACGTCATTTTTATGATATCACGCAGAGAGAGCTTTTTGGGCTTTCCGCTCTCCCAGCGTGATGCGATTAAATAAGCTCTTATTTATTTTTGTTTACTTAATTTGCTAAAAAGCATTCAATTGAACTTTTATAGCTCTAAAAATTGTAAAAATTAATTTGATATTAGATATGACAAATTAGTGTTGATCGAATTGAATGTTCTAATCTAACTTAGTTGTGTTGTGAATAAGTTTTGATTGATGGAACTTACCACTTATACTAATACCAGCCACCTTATCAATATTTTGAACATTTAATACAAATATATTTATATACTCTGATATTGAATGTACAAGAGTATATTGGTTTTGTGTAATATCCGTCATGCTGTCTGTCCATCTGAATATTTTGTCGACACTCTTGAAGCTAGAGTCTTCCAACTTGGAACAAATAATTGCTTGTACCCGCGCCAGACAAAATGTTAAAATTGGAGCGCAACATCCAAAAGCGGGCTATGAAATCGATAAACGCAAATCGGTCAAATCGAATTCGCGGGGTGCCCGTTGTTGAGGGCGTTAAAATTCAAAATATCAGCATGACGCAATGATTTCCGGCAAGTGAAAAATGATTTGCTCAGCATACTCCTGCTGTACAGTTTGCCCGAATCATACGAAACGTTTCGGTGCGCAATGGAAGCAAGAGATTATCTTCCAAGGTCAGATGTTCTAAAAGTAAAAATACTAGAAGAAGTAAATGCACGCAAAACTAAGTGTGAACATGAAGAGCAAAACGTAATGTTCGCTCACCGACAAAACGGTAAACGCGATAAGCCGCCAAAAATGCGAGGGAACAGAAAATGCTTTACTTGCAATAAAACGGGACATATAGCGCGCAACTGTCGTAACAAGGCAAAAGGCAAAGGCGAAGAGCCAGAGAACCAAAGAGAGAGAGCAAAGAGAGCTGAAGAAGCCACGCTCACTTGTCAGACTAATTTCTGTGTAAATAAAGTTGGTATGTGGTGCCTAGACAGTGGATGTACGGCGCATATGACTTCAGATGTGGATTCATTTGAAAATATTGCAATGATCGAAAACACATCGCATTTGGCAAACAATGAAAAGACACAGATCAGTGGAGTCGGTGATGTACGAATCGCAGTTGAAGAAAATCAAACAAAAGAGAATGTAACTCTGAGTGAAGTGCTTTACGTGCCCGATCTGAGACAAAGTCTGCTGTCGATCGCAAAGATCACATACAGAGGTTACGAGGTCCATTTCCGAAAAAACGATGCGTTAATAGTGAAAAACAATTTTCACTATAATGACAATCAGAGCGCACAAAAACTGGTTACAGGCTTCGGATTTCACCCGCGTACGAATCATATAGATGTACGCCACCACTTCATCAAGCAAAAATACCTGAGCGGCGAAATTGAAGTGGAGTATATGCAAACAGAACAGATGCCAGCAGAAGTCCTGACGGAAGGTCTGAGCGGGACCAAACATCGCGAATGCATTTCGAGTTTGGGAGTTACATATATTTAAGTAAAGAGTATTGTTACTTTAAGGGGGCGTATTGTTATTATCCAATTTTTTTTTTTTTTTTTTTTTTATTTTTTTTAATTTTTTTCTTTAAATTTAAACATAACTGTTGTATTTATTCCTTCCATTAAAAGAAGTCGCGTAGCGCTTGACAAAAAGATATTGAAACTTATATATATAAACATAACCTCTAAAGAAAACTCCTCGTGTTATTAATGGTCATGGGCCCGATGTTTCAATCAGTAAGCCTGCACCTATAACCCCAAATCTCCAAGACATGCGAATGCCCTCCTTGATGCACGCACGCAGATGTGGCAAGTGCTTCATATTTTCTATGGACAGTGGTGAGTTCTTCTCGAGCAGCACTCCCCTAATCTCCTTGAGCAGTCGCGCTTGCTGTGCGGGGTTCTTCGACAGGCTAAGTAGAATGCCCGTCAGACTGACAAGGGTCTAGAGGGGAAATGGAGATGTTTATTATTTGAAATAGATTTTACTCGATCACTTACGGGATCCACGCCGGCAAATAAAAGACCTAAGGCAATAATCACATCCGTCTGGCGATTGGAACGCGCCAGTTTCTCTAGAATACTCGTCTCCATGCCTGGCTTGGTGCTCAGGCGTCCATCTCGGGCATCTTCCTCAATGCGCTTCAGCGCCTGCTGAATGTGATTATAGCAAAACTCTGCGATGGTGTCCAGAGAACGCATTAGGGTCTTAAACATAGGCACTGGTAAATACTTCCAAATCAGTGGCAATAGGAAGCTCAACTCAACTATATTCGCCAATGCCTTAATCATTTGCTTTGCCTCCTCGCTCTCCAGATTCTCCGCCAGCGTACTGAGTGCCACCGAACAAATGGATACCAGGACTAGGCGGCGAATCTCCTCGACAAAGGCAGCAGGCATCTCTTGAGTCTTGGGATCTCTTATGGCACGTATGCTGTGAAAAAAAAAAACGAGTAGCTCTCAATGAGATATAGGAAACCTTTTACCATCTCGACTTACCGCTCCAGTAACTCATCATTTACCTGCAGAATATTGTTTACATATAATTTGGCATTGCGTGGCTGCAGCAAAATCGGATTAACGGCTGTTCGCAACTTACCCCATGCGGGTCCATTTCTATATACAAATAAATAAATAAATGATCTTAGATAAATGTTCATATGGGTCTTGTTAATAGTTTTGCATTGGTATTTTGTCTTACATATTGTCAATTTTGTCAACTTTCACTATTGTTATTTCTGCCCTTATTTGGACCCTGGTCAAATTGGAATACTACAACAGCTCAAAATAAAACATGTATAAAATGAAAAGTTGAAATAAAAAAATCGTGTGACAAAATAATTCGAGTTCTTTAGAGCGCAGCAAAAATTAAGAAAATTGAAATACTCCCATTCAACTTACCCTGATGTTAAACCATCAGCACCATCGAAAATATCACGTCTGTGAACCCTTTTGAAATGGTCCATATTCTCTTTGCCAGCAATGCCAGGCATGCGAAAAATGTCCCCAAACCGTTTATTCATATCCAAAAACATTTTATGCACCGGCTTATTGCTATAGCGACCTGCGATTGGTAATTGATAGTGAACAACAACAAACCAAAACAAAGACGGAAAGAGAAATACAAAAGAGAGCAGAGAAGCTTTTTCTCTCTTTGAAAAAATATATAGTTCACTTACCGCCCGGCAAGAAAGAGCGAATAAAGTTGAATCTACTGGGACCAGGTATCTCCGAGTAGGGTTTTGCTTGATCCAAAGGCGTAGCGTCCAAACCTGCTGCGCCCTGTAGCATAATAACAACAACAATAATAATATAATAATATACACAAGTAGTTCAATATGAAATAACCTTGGTGGCAAACGCCCGCCCAGCTTGTAGAATTCGAACGGAGATCTCTCTCTGACCGTGCAACTGCCTCGACAACATTTTTCGTACTGATTTGACGAAATAAGCGAACACTACGAATAACCAAAGTCAATTCACTCGAACAAATTCCATAAAACACGCGCGCCCCGTCAGCATATTTTCAGCAACGCGGGACTCAGACAGAAATATGATGAGCCCACGATCACAGCTACGGCGCATGGACAAGCGCCCCGTCAGCAGATCCCATCGTGGGACCCACAACGGATAACTGACACGATTAGCGACAAAGCCGCAACGATCAGCAGAAGCAGCAGTCCGAGTTTATAAACATTCAAACGGAACAAACTGGTTTTTTTTATTAAAAACCTCGAGGACTCGATTAATTCATATACATTTATATACTCTAATACTGAATGTACAAGAGTATATTGGTTTTGTGTAATATCCGTCATGCTGTCTGTCCATCTGGATATTTTGTCGACACTCTTGAAGCCAAAGTCTTCCAACTTGGAACATATAATTGCTTGCCATACAAAATATTAAAATTGGAGCGCAACATCCAATAGCAGGCTATAAAATCGATAAACGCAAATCGATCAAATCAATGTCCTTCAATGATAGGTATCGGCCACGCTCACCTCCGCCAAGGCACCGCCTATAAGAATCTGCAATAGGTATATCTTCTTCGGCTTCTAAGCTAGAGCCAGCATATTTGGAAGGTATATTACCGGAAATCAGCTTTAAGTAAGCATCGATAAGAAAAAAACCGCCGCACCCAACATTTTTAACCCTATAAATCTGAAATGCGCATATATTTTACAACTTGTAAGCTAGAGTCACCAAATTGTATAATTATAGTTATAAGAGTTCATCAAAATATGTTGAAGATTTACGAACAAGAAAAAATTGAAATGAAATTTAAGTTTATCCACAGTTTTTCAGTGTGTAACATAAATAGTCCATATGGTTATTATATTTAAAATAGACATAAATGAAAATAGACCCAAGAGATTTGCTTTTCATATGGCATCGCTCCCTTTCAAATCCTTCCCTCCCATTACGCATACCCACCGTTTTCACTTTCAGACTTTAAAAAACTTACCCAAGTAAGTGAAACCATCGAAAATTTAAGCCTGTCAGTAGCAGAACTTAAACAGTTAGACAAAAGGCAATATCGCCGCTGACAGAAAATCTATATAGGATGGCAGACAAACGACTATAATAAAATCGATTTTTTATTTTTGGACACTGACAAGGGCGCGTCGCATTGGGCATTGGGACGCGTCTCGACCAGCGGGCACATAAATATATATGCACACACAGTCACATACACACACACATACACAGACATATATATACACACATACAGAGAAAGCACAGACACGCCAACTGATGATGGGCATACAAAAGTTGACCTCGACTTTGAGCTGTCAAAGCCAAAAACTAACTGACCTAAACCAACAAAATCGACTTTGCAGCCTAAACACAAAGCTGAGCATGACAGGCCGACCGGGAAAGGGGGTAGAGGAAGAGGGTGGGGGAGGGGGTGGAGTGCCCGTTGTTGAGGGCGTTAAAATACAAAATATCAGCATGACGCAATGATTTCCGGCAAGTGAAAATGAAACCTGTTGGAGTTGACTGGCGGCTGTGGCCTCTGTTGCTGCTGCTGCTGTTGCTGCTGCTGCTGTTGGCAATATAAACAAATTCAATTTGACAGCTGACAGGGACAACGTCGGCAGTAGCTACAGCGACAACAACAACAGGCATAACAACAGTATCAGCCACACACACACACACACACACTCCCAAACAAAAAGCCGCAAGTAATAAACTTTTACGATCTGTTTTACGGCAACGCGGCACGTGCAACTAGGCCCAGAGCAGTTGGCGCGGGTGTGGCGGCGGCATATAAAAAGGGGCATGGTTCTTGCAACATAAATTTTAAGAAAGCCAAAAACCCGGCACGACATAACAACAAAAACAACAGTGCAGACACCAAAACAAACACACACATACAGCACACACACACACACATGCAGGCAGCGGCAACTCCGCAATGTAGGCAATAAAAATAAAATAAAAGTAAATTGTTCAAGGACAACAATATTTTATGCTATTATTCTACAAACGCAGCACCAAGCACTGAGCGAGAGCCGCAGCCTGTTTTGGAGCAACAGAGAGAGAGAGAGAGAGAGAGAGAGAGCGACACAGAGATTCAGAGAGAGACAGAGCGAGAGAGAGAGAGAGAGAGAGAGAGAGAGCGAGAGTGAGCACATAAGAGTCTGTCCCCCTTTTTTTATATGTCAGCCAAACGAATTTTTACTTTTTGTTTTGCAGCGAAAAAAATGAACAAATTTCGCCTCAGCTGAAGGGGGTTGTTAGCCAGAAATGTGTGTTGGGCATTGGGTGCGTCTGGCTCTGCGACTGCGGCACAAAAACGTCAGCAGCACTCAAAAAGCATTCGCAGCAGTCTTGCTGGCTGGCTGGCTGGCTGCTGTCCTTGCCCGTGTAATGCCATTGATGGATGATTCTTTTGCCGGAGAGTGCCGAAAAATAAAAGCACTAAAACTTGCAATTTGTATGGAATACATCAGCAGCAGACGAAGAGGCCGATGCCGATGCCGACTGTTGCTGTTGGCCAGAAAGAGGCGGCACGACAACAGAACCTGAGTTATAGAAAGCCATAACCTGCACTCTCCCTTACGGCCAGACACAGCAACCGAGTGTGTATGTACGTGTGTGTATGTGTGTGTGTGTGTGTGAGTTTGGGGCGCGCTTTATGATTGCCAGGCATAAATAAGCGACAAAAGCACCCCAATGACGGCAAGGGTGTCCGCTTTCTATATAAGTATGTGTGTTGCCGAGTGGGTGTGTGTGTGTGTGTGTGTGTGCTGGCAAAGTGCACTTCCTGTGTCCTTTCAGTGTTTTGCCACCAATTGCTGCCAGCTACAGCAGCAGCATGAGCAGGAGCAACAGCAACAAGGCTGCGCTGCTTGCCTCTGGAGTTCACCTGCTTTACATTGCCACAGTCTGCGTCCTTTTCATCCAGCGCTTTTTCTGCTGGCATTGGCGCTGTCAACGCCGTCGACGACTGGATAAATGTGTATCTACACAGATACAGTGCTACTGTCTGCGTATGTGTATGTGGGTGTGTATGTGTGTGTGTGTGTGTGTGTGTATGTAGGTCTGTGTCGCTAACTGCCATGGGCCCCTGCTTCTGGATGGAAGTCTGCGCATCTACTCTATGCTGCCCTAATGGCTATATGAATGTGTATGTGTATGTGTGTGTGGGTGTGAGTGCTGTGTGTATGTATGTGTGTTAAGCAAAAGTAGCAATTCATCATAGAAAATGGCGGAAGTAATCGTCTCTTTATGGGGGTGTGCATGTGGCTAAGTGCGCGTGAGTATATCTGCTTATTCGGCAAGTCGTGCGAGCAATTAGAATTTTTGCTTAAAGTCTATTAAATAAATATACATTTATTTGCTTTAAAACGAAGCATTTTTTCATTCAAATATACATATATTATATAACGTTGTGCGTCACTTTGCTCGTATCAAATATTATTCTTAAAATTTCCTCAGTTTTCACATTAATTATTTTTATACATTTTTAATTATCAGTCTAATATTCGTTTATTCGGTACAATTCATTCTTATTTCTGTGGAAAGTTAAAAAGTCTTGCCAATTTATTGACAGTGAGCTTACATAGCTAATATATGATTAATTATGATTTCCATCTTGCTTACATTCCAAGGAGCTCCTGCAATGAACTTTAAATTAAATCAAAGACTATAAAGTAATACAATCTCTATAGTCTTTAATATAAGTCAGAAATGTATACTTAATATATGAAACTGTGCCTCTGTTTCACCCAGATACAAGTCTCAAATACATTTTCTCATAGATCTTTGAAAATATAAGAAAATAAAAGTGAAAAAGTAAAAACTATTTAATGATTTTATAAGTCAAAGCTTTGAGTATCTTGTCCCATACAAAATGTCGCCAATTTGATTGCCAGGATATGGATTAAAATAGAATTTAAAATATCTAATAAAAGTACATCCCATTTCTAATTATTATTAATGGCAAAATATTTGAAGCGATCCCCTTTAATCAGGTAAAATCAGCAGTATTCATAGCATAGTGAATACAATTTAATTTAGGAAATCATAATAACATCAAGAATATGAATCCATTGAATCCGCTCAGCTCAAATCCGGGAAGCCTTTAAAATCCGGTGACCGACAAATATCCATGAAAATCCAAATACATATTGGGTTTTTAACAGATCTTAATGAAAGTTGGTTCCCAAAACATCATATAGTCAAAAGTCAATTAATTTATAAAAAGAAGAAAGTTTCATTGAATGCCGAGCAGCCAATTATTTGTCGACCTTAAAATCCATAGAATTGTTCAAGTGTCTTCTGAATGTGTAATTTAACAAAACGACAGTCAGATCAATACTATACATTGCAATATGTTCACTAATAGTCCTCATCAGTCGTTAGAGTATAGTATATCTAGCGTCTTGAAGACAAATCTACACTTTCCAGACTATCAAGTGGTTAATGGGATTTTCAGCAGCCAATTGAAATGGCCAATCCATTACTTGACGATTGGCCATCAAAAACACGCCACATGTCACATGCCCCAAACATTTACTACCACAATGAACATGAAAAACGCATCTTCTATCCACTTAATGCCACACAACGACTCTGCACATTTTATAACTCAACAAAGCAAGTCACCCGCATGGACCGAGAACTAGAACCAGACACAGATCCCGACCAAAGGCCAAGTCATCAACATTGGCTCAAGAGTCGAGCATTTAGTTAATTTTAAATGCTTATTAGCGCAATTTACAGTTTCTCACATGGCATCGAGCCGGTAAAGCTAAGTGCTCGGTGGGGGAAGGGTGGTGAGCCATAAACAGGCAAAAGACTGGAGACCCAGGGAAAACACACACACAAAACCATCCGCATAGATACTTTGGGGCCAGCATATGTAGAGGCGAAATTATAATTTTATTATCATTACCAACGGCGAGTGTGTTATC